TTTTCTTTCAAAATATGTGAAAAAAATTTTATTGGTTAAAAATCAATAAATCTAACCCAAACCCAAATATTGGACCCAATAACCACTTTCACAAATTAACCCATTAAAACCCAAACCCAAAACCAAAAAACCCTAGTTTTCCTTTCTCTTTAAAAGGGGGGAGCCACACCAAAAAAAAAAAGGCTGCAGACGGCAAAAAAAAAAAAAAAAAAAAAAAAAAAAAAAGCTGGATTCTTCTTCTCCCATCCAAACCCCTTTCTCCAAATTTTCCTCCGATCAATAGCTTCCACCTACATCACCGGTCATCAATCATCACCTGATTCTTCTCCCATCCAGAACCCCCTTTCTCCATTTTCTCCGATCGTGGGATCCCTCCTTCAGATCTGGATCTGCCTTTCTCCAAGATTTCCGCCTTGGGTGTTTTTGTTTCATATTATGCAATTTCCTGATGTTTGGTGCTTAAACTTGTATGAATTTGCTAAAAGTGAATGATATTCAGTGATTCGTTGCTTGTATGAATCTGCTCTGTCGCTGGCCTGCTGCCGGACCGGATCCATCTGCTTTGCTGCCGGACCGGATCCATCTGCTCTGCCGCTGGCCTGCTGTCGGACTGGATCCATCTGCTGCCGCTGGCCTGCTGCCGGACCGGATCCATCTGCTGCCGTTCCCCGCAGGGAACGGGGACGGGGGGCAAAATCTGCCCTTCGTAAAAAATCCCTGTGGGGATCCCCATCCCCGTGACTCACGGGGACGGGGATGGGAAAGGGGTCCCCGGCCCCGCGGGGCTCCGTTGACATCCCTAACTGTACTTATTGTTTATCAAATCAAGTATCACACAAAGAAAAAGAAAGTGCATTATTTGATTTTATTAAAAACATTATCATGATGAATATGTATTTGTGATACTTGTGATATAAAATTTGATATTAAAGTTAGATATCTCATATCTATTTAAAAATAATACTTCTCACTTGAGGATCTATATCTTGAGATTGTGATGATTAACATTCTTATATAATACACTCTTAATGTAAGAACTGCATGTGGATGGAGAATAAAAAAAGGTATCCATATGTATTATTATTGGTTTGAGACCAATAGTTCCTATCAAAATTATGTATAGCATTCGTATTATTTTATAAGGTATAATGGTAGTTAAATGAGTAATTAAAATATATACTCATATTATACAATTATAGTATAGACATTCTTACTGTACAACAATGTATGATAGTGTATCAAGTTAAAGGTTCTTAAATATATATATATATATCTATGCAGTAAGAAAAAAAGAAAGTGAATCTCTAGCTTAATTCGATATTGGAAACTATGGTTCTATGAATTGTGAATTTTAAGAAAATGAAAGTCATCTATGAGCTAGTGAAAATATGGGTTGATAATGATAAAAGAGAGTGAGAAAAATATTTATATATGATATATATTCATATTATGTAAACAATGCAATGAGACACTTGTCATTTTAAAAAAATTTTCCCTTTTTTTTTTTGGTACTAACATTCCAGTATCCGGTAACTACATTGGGTCTTTATTAATTAAGAATCAAGCAGTGTTAGACCCCATAAGGGAGGAAGCTCTCTCAACGCCTATTTCTCCATTCACAAAACTCAAACTCAAGACATTGTTTAAGGAAAACCGAGCATCTTTCACTTGAACCAACAGGTCATTGGTTTTTTCCCAATTACAATTACCCTAAATCAAGTGTAATATTTGAAATTACAATTGTAAGGTTGTGGAAGAGCTTAAATGTTGTGAATGACAAAAAACTCTAAAAGAGTTAAAATTTTATTGCTTGGAAGAACAAAAAAATTATTGATATATGTGATTATTTGTATCTCTAGTAGATTATATTAGAATTTATTAAATTTTAGAGATGCAAAAAGATGATGGTTGTCATATCAAAACCATGGAGAGAATGATATAAATTATCTTAATGTCATATCTTTTATACATGGCCAACAGACACATGTGAAGATATTAATGTTCTCTTTTTAATTATCCATCCATACATATATGGAATAGGATCAAATTTTTGAAACTAACCAAAAGTTACTTAATGTTAAAAGGTTTTTGTTGTGCCTAATTGACTTGGCTAGCAAATGAATTTTTCAAATGTTATATTCTTTTAAGAACATGATTATTAAACCTTTTACAAATGAAATGGAAGTAGAACCTCCTTTATTGTTATATTGAATTCAATAAGATATGTTAAGTTAAAACTCCACCATCTAAAATATTTAATATATTATGGCATAAGTATGTACTTCAATACGATGGTGATATGGGAGTTCCTTAATCAACAAGTAATATTGTATTAAAGGTTGAGAATTATTGTTAATATTTTAAATGATTGACTATTAATGTATTTACAATATAATTTGTTGATTGTTTATCTAAACAAATCATGTTCTTAGTATTGAAAGGAGAATAGGGGAAAAGTAGGAAATAACTTGAGATGCATCATCCAAGATTATTGAATAAGTTGATATAATTGGAATTCCAAAGTGTTGCACTATCAATTACTAGCTATAGCTATTGATGGAAATGAAAGAAAGTAAATCACATATCTAAGCTTTAAGTATCCCTATTAATATTAGAAAAGTTGTTAAAACATTAGCAAATGATTATATTATATGCACGTCAAACACGTGTAAGAACAAATAGTTCAAAGGATAAAAATCCAAGAATGAAGAAAAAACATAAGTAAAAAGTTAATATTGTTAAAATCATAAATATTCTTGAAGAGTTATTGATGAAACAACCTTACAAGAGGATCATGTACTTGATGACAATGAGAATTTTGAAATTATACACAATAATGAGATCTCTATGAGTTATAGTTCTCCTAAAAAAGAAAAGAGCCTTTATGAACAATGGCTCTCCTAGAAAATGATAAAAGCCAAATGAAACTATTATTAATGACGATATGTTTGCATATGCAACAGTCAACAATATGTCAAAGGAGATGGAACCCAACATAACTCACACAAGTTCCTACTTACATATGAGCTATAGAATACTAGTGAAATATATGCTCAACAAAAATGGTTCAACTGAGAATCTTGGAGATCCTTTCACCTAATCACTTCATACCAAAGTTTTATTGAGCAGCTAAGATTAACATTTGGTGGTCTCATAGAGAATTGTTAAAGTGAGGGAGAGTATTATATGTACTACATTCTTTTTCCCACAAAGGTTTTTCTAGCAAGGTGTTTAATGAGACAATTCAACAAGCGTATAATCAGTGAACATCCAAAGGGAGGTATCATGAACTATACAAATAAATGGATGTTTCACCTTCATCCTTCCACCCTCTAAGTTTATTCATTTGAATAATTAAGTCTCATTCATTAAACCAAGCTTTATTCATTGAAATATTAGATTCATGAAACCACAACACTTATGGAACTAGAAAACTTTGTTCAATGTTCCACTTAGTTCATGAATCTTCAATTAATTAAATTTATTCATGTAACATTCATTTTCCCTTAGTCTATATATACGCTTGCATTGTACGGAGAAGAGATATATAGAGAGATAGAATTGGAAGAATAGAAAACATACTTCTAAAGTATTCTCATTTGCCAAACTTTCTATTCTCTTCATATGTCATTGTTGTACCTTATCTTTATACATAGTCTTACTTCATCATATTCAAATATCATTTATTTTATGATATAAAATTTATTTTTGTTTACTACAAAAAGTCTTGTAATATTACTAGCAAGCTCATGATGTTCATACGTTCGTGTAAGACAAAACCAAAACCCTAAAGTAATCTTTATGCTGTGTCAATACTCTTGGCTTGTTTGCTTTGTATTTTTGAAACTATATATATATATATCAATCGTGTCTGATGATGTTCATTTGTGGAGTAGAGTGGTGTACGGTAACAAAGTTGATCAAGCACATTGCAGAGAATCATAACACGAACAGTAACAAAATTGATGCTGGGTAGAGACTTGAAGAGTGAAAAACCCTCCAAGATGGAATTGATTATTTTTGGGAACATGATATCACTAGGTGCTTTAATGGCGCTACAATGAGGGCAATGAAGATTGAAGGGGAGCAATTTTAGACGTTTAAAGATTTCAATAGTCAAAGGCTTGGTAATGTTCATTTTTACGTTTAGTGAAGCATATTGCATATGCTTGGTAAAGTTCAATTTTTTTTTTTTTTTTTTTTTGTGTTTGCAATGTTCTCTAACTAATTAATTGCATACAAAATGGTAGTCTAAACTCAAAGGACAATGGAAAACATGGGCATCGGAGCCCATTGATAGATCTTGCCAAGAAGGAAGAGAGACGAGAGCACTTGCAACATGAATGAGAAGAAGAGTTTGGCTGAAACTCAAAGAAAAGGGAAAAGAGAAATAGTAGAAAAGTAACGAAGAAGTGTCCAATCTCACTTCCCACTTCACCAACTTCCCTTAGCAGCCTTTTATATAGAAACTAATCAGCGGAATATGA